GGGATTCGAACCCGCCACCTTAGGTGTATGTGGCTGGCGCCTTAGCCACTTGAGCCACAGGCCCCGAGCCTATTTTGGGTTTTATGGTTGGCTTTTACCACCCGCCTTGGGGAAGAGCATTCCTAGTTTCTGTGGTCAATCTCAGGGAAGAATGGGACTGAGGAGCTGGATAACAAGAGAGGTCATAGAAAAACCTTTGTTTCTGAGGCCTTCATTTTGGGCTACTGTTTTTCTGAGGCCTTCATTTTGGGGTACTGTTTTCTGAGCTCCAACACAGCTCACAATCTGTAAAGGTCTTATATCTAACTGTCATGAAAAGAGACAAATTGCCATCCAGAACTTTAGATGACAAACTACCATTCTCCCCTGTCACACAAGCTTTAGAGCCCTTTCTTTTTTTTCTTAAGACAGTCTCATTTAGGGCGGTGCCTATGGCTCAGTGGGGAGAGTGCCAGCCCCATATACCGAGGGTGGCGGGTTCAAACCGGGCCCCAGTCAAATTGCAACAGAAAAAATAGCTGGGCATTGTGGAGGGCGCCTGTAATCCCAGCTACTCAGGAGGCTGAGGCAAGAGAATCACCTAAGCCCAGGAGTTGGAGGTTGCTGTGAGGTGTGTGATGCCATGGCAGTCTACCAAGCACAATAAAGTGAGACTCTGTCTCTACAAAAAAACAAAAAGGATAGTCTTATTTAGTCACTGTTGTTGGGTGCCAAATGTTGGAGTTCCACTCAGGGGAAAGGTCTGCTCAGACCTGTGGAACTGGTGGCAACCAACTAAAGGAATATAAAGTTAGAAACAAGGCAAAGAAAGAGACATGAGCCATAGAGTAGAATTAAAAGTGGGAGCTGAGGGGTCCACTGCCTGTTTGTGGGCTTCTGACGATGGCACCAAGTGTTTACTTCACCCTGCTTTTATTGGAGTCTATTTGCCCAGAGAGTAAGATGAGGGAGGGAACAAAGTTCTGAGTGAGCATATCAGCTCCTGTTATTATTTAAGGGTTTGACTAGCCTTGAGAAATCTGAGCCCTATGTTGGGAGAGGCTCCCACTTGAGATCACACACACAGACTTCTAAGAAGGTGCTAAACTCTGATCGTTCCCTATGGAGTAAAACGCCACTAGCGTTAATCTCCTCTGAGGAGGCTCTGGTGCCTATGGCTCAAGCGGCTAAGGTGCCAGCCACATACACCTGAGCTGAGGGTTCAAACCCAGCCCGGGCTTGCCAAACAACAATGACGGCTGCAACCAAAAAATAGCCGGGCATTGTGATGGGTACCTGTACTCCCAGCTACTTGGGAGGAGGAGGCAAGAGAATAGCTTAAGCGAAGGAGTTAGAGGTTGCAGTGAGCTGTGATATCACAGCACTCTACCCAAGGCAACAGCTTGAGGCTCTGTCTTCAAAAAAAAAAACACTCCTCTGAGGAATTGGTGGGTGGGAGGAATTTTCCTCCCATCACCACCACTGAGGATCTTCCTCTGCGATAAGGGATATAAACTCTTCTGTCCATATCTCAGGGCTCAGGCTACTCCCTTGATCTCTGCGTCAGGCAAATGCAAATCTCCACTATGGGCATCTGCTTTCCCTGTTTACTAAGCAGGAGACAACCCAGTTAATGTATCTTTCTAGGTCTTGTCATAGCCTCTTCTATGACCATTTTTCCTCAGAGTGCTCACAGCCGCAGCAGGGTGTTTGTAAGGGGTATCCCCAACAGGCTAGAATTTCAGAAAAGGCAGGAAGCTTGCTAGCAGTGTCTAGTTTAAATGTAGACTAGCTGACTTTGTTCCAACTCACTCAACCCACTTTTTAATTTTCCTCTTTTTCTGGGGGTGCTTTACCTTGCCAAGAATGGGGTCTTTGGTCCCCATTCTCCCAGGAAGTCACCCTCAGTAAACTGCCATGGCATCATAGCTCACAGCAACCTCAAACTCCTGGGTTCAAGAGATCCTCTTTGCCTCAGCTTCCTAAGTAGCTGGGACTACAGGTGCCTGACCCAGCTATGTTTGTTTGTTTGTTTGTTTTTTTAGAGAAGGGGTCTCACTCTTGTTCATGCTGGTTTCAAACTCTTAAACTCAAGCAATCTAGTCACCTCAGCCTCCCAGGGCGCTGGGATTACAGGCTGAGCCACTTGTGTGTGAGCTGGCCTACACTCCGTTTTTGACAAGCCTTAGCCTTCTTTGTAACCCCTTCCTTTATGCCTAAAGATGGATATATTGATAACTCTGCTAGTTTTTAGAATCAAGGTGAAATTCATGTAGCATGGAATTAACCATTTATCTGTTGGTTCTTTATCTTATATAATGCATATCAAAGATTTGTAAGCACAAATAAATCATGTTAATGAACCTCACTTCACCTCATATTCCCATGAGGTAATGTATTTATTTACTTCTAATTTGCACTGTGTGCGATGCTATGACATTAAACACCCTTTGGGGAGGTGCTTTCATATGAACTGCATTGGGGATTTAGGCCCAGACCTAATCAGTGCGATAGGCACCAAGCACGCCTGTCCTTCTGGTTCCTTCTCTACTGCTACATCACTCTACCCTTCTGGGGTAGAGCAATCTGCACAGACACTGCAGGGCGAGGACAGCCTGCCTGGTGCTCCTGGAGCCAACTGAGGCCACAAGGCTACGGATTATACACACCCAGGATGGCAGGAAGGGCAGCAGAAGCCAGGATCCTTCCAGATATCCTCAAGTGCTAAGCCAATCTCAGTAACTCCCCATCTCCAGACTTCTTGATAAGTGATATTAAAAAATACAAACATAAGCCAGGTATTGTGGCAGGTGCCTGTAGTCCCAGCTACTCAGGAGCCTGAGGCAGGAGGACTACTTAAACACACTAGTTTGAGGTTGCTGTGAGCTAGGCTGATGCCACAGCACTCTACCCTGCGTGATAGAGCAAGACTCTGTCTCAAAATAAATAAATAAATAATAAAAACAACTAACAAATAAAAACCATCTATTGCTTAAGCAACTTTTAGTGGGTTCTCAATTAGTTTTTGCAGAAAGGATTGTAACTGATATATTTGGAAAACATTTTTACTCTGATCATGATTTACCAAATAGAAAAATGATTATTGAAGGAAAGAGAAATTAAAAAACAAATCCTACCTTTTTGGGTACACATCCAACATTTACCTAAAAAAGAAAAAGGACACACTTTAGGATACTGAACTCCAACCATCAAACGAACCTGGAAGAAATATACATCAAGCAAGGAGATTTCCCCAAGTTCTGAGTCGCAATGAAATAAATCCTACAATTACTTTTTTTTTCCTATTATAGAATTTTAAAAGGTAAGAACATTATATTTTCCTTATGTGATGAAGTAGAGAATTTTACTCATTAGCATTTTCTGAGGAAAAGCACAAAGAGAGACAGAGACAGAAAGGGCAATGAGAGCATCTGAGCAGCTGCCTTAGGAGAGATTCCTGGGAATTTGACTACAGGTAGGTGGTTAAACACCCACTATGGCCCACTTAATAAAACCTCTAGTGAGCTACATTATTCTTAGGGATCAGAGGACAATGAGATTCATCCGTGCTATTGAGTTTTACAGACTTGCTAGAAATAGACCACAAATTTGACTCTTAGCCCTCTAGCAGTCAATACACAAAGGGAAATAAAAATAGTTGTAAGATTTCATCATGAAGGCTCGGCGCCTATAGCTCAACC